ATGTTGCATTATTTGTCTTGATGTTGCATTATTTTGTTTTATTTGATTTTTCCTGTTTATAAAGCTATTATAGTCTGAGCTGTCATATCTGTTTTGATGTTTTTATATTTTTTCTCATTTCATGTGGTACCCAGAGTCCATTTGTTAACTGATAAATTCAAATATATAAAATAAAAACTAAATATTTATCAAACATATATCATGCCATAATGATGACTTTTTAATAGCTTACAATGTAAATAATATAGACATCCATGATAAAACTATGACAATTTCATAATAAAACCTCTTAAGATGCTGCAATGATAACAAATGAAAAGAAAAAAATGTTTCAGGGTATAAGAGAATATTGTCTGGAATAACTCCATTGTCATAATTTCCCCAGAGATCAGCTGAAAACTTGATCTGCATAGCGGGGAGGGAGTGCTTTGCAGTTCAAATCTGTGGCAGAACAGAAAAGCAGTACCTTCTAGGTTCAACCTGGGCACATTTTGGAAATGTGGGACTATAAACAGATTGTATCAATATAATGTTATGGGTCAGGCTGATTCAGGAGAATTTGCAATGAACTTTAACAGGCTTAACACCAGCACTTTAAATTGTATGTGACGGAAAGTGTGGGCTCTGTAGAATTCCATCCTTCGTGTTCCCAAAGTTGGGAGAGACAGCATGTATATGGGCTACCATATTCTGGATCAATTTCCAAGTTGTCTTTGTAAACAATTCAAGTAAAGCCACTGCAAATGTGTAATTTACTTTGCTTCCACAAATGGAGTGTAACTTAGCAAGTTAGATGGTTTTAAAAGAGGAATAAACAACTTCAGAGTTCTTATTTAGTTAGCATGATGCCTTTGTGGGGCATTCACTTGGAAGTGACTATAAAATGGACCAGTGCTTTTATGAAATATGTAGGTTTCTTGATGGTGATTATGGAAAATGGAATGCTAAACTCCATGGACCTTTGATCTTATCCAGCCAATTCCTTTGGCATTGTTATTCTTTTCTAATTACTGGAATGCAGCCAATGTGTCACTGATTAAGTTATGGCATTGCTCCATTAAAAGCAATTAATACTCTGTGCAAATACTTTTGGCTTCAGGGTCATTTAGTACACAGTCAGACAAACTGGAACTGGGAAAAAATATCAGCTATTTCCTCTACAGAGTGAATCGCTTCCAGAGTCAACTGGTTTTCCTTGATTTCTTGTTGTGGAAAAGAAGATAGTAAATTAGACTGTCCATACAATAGGATACAAAAGACCTGGTTCATACTGATACCAAGACTGAGTGAAGATATATTTACTATTCTGTGTTTTTGTAGCCCGAATCCCTAAACACATAAATGTTCTAGGATTCTGATATCCCTTAGAAATAGCACAGTGTACTGTTCACTTTGTCTTAAATAATGTTGACTTTTGTAACGTATATGTCATAAAGTTAATGATGTGAATATACAGTATTTCAGTATGTTTTATGTATTGTTTTGTAGATTGGTAATCCATGTTGGAACGAAAACCATTTGAGTTAGCAACTTAAGGAACTGTAAACGGCACTCTCTGTGTGTGCATGTGCGTGCACACAAATATAGCATCATAAAATGATCCTGAAATTGCAATAAAAGACAAAGTAAGTTTTATCATTTTATGTTAAACTGGCTGCAGGCCCATAGAATATAATTAAACATGAAGGTTACATATATTACCTCAACATGACTGGACAAATGTGTCTTTTTTTGTATAATGTCTTGTAGATAAAAGTGGCACAAATTCTGGAATTTTACGAGTTTTGACAATAGCCAAAGACTTTGCTTCAGCAGGAAATTTTTGCAACTCAATACTAAAAAACTCTCTTGACATCTACAAACTCTATTGCTGTGATCATTGGTAAAAAGCAAATATTTTTAATACCATGTTTCTCACAAAATAAGGCCGGGCCTTATTTTTTTTTGACCAATAAAAAAACGGCTAGGCCGTCTCTTTGGGGGTGACTTAATTTCCTCCCCCACCTAGAGCGGCCCATACGCACGTACCTCGCTGCGAGGCTGCTTCTATTGGCTGACGAAAGCTCCTTGAAGGCAGAGTCCCCAGGTGCTTCAGGGCGTGGCGTGGCTGCCCATGTCCACTCGCCTTTAGGCAGTCTCTTTTGGGCGATGGAAGCTCCCCAAGTGCAGTCATTAGCCACTTCGATTGGCCAGTAGAAGCGGCCTTGGGGCGAGCACACATACACATACTCCCCTCGCCGCGAGGCCGCTTCTATCGGCAGACAAAAGCTCCCTTGAAGGCAGAGTCCCCAGCCGCTTCAGGGTGAGGTGTGGTTGCCCATGTCCCCTCGCCTTTAGGCAGTCTCTTTTGGGTGATGGAAGCTCCCCAAATGCAGTCACCAGCCACTTCAATCAGCCGGTAGAAGTAGCCTCGGGACTAGGGGAGTGTGTGTGTTTACACCACAGGTGTCAAACTCGATCGTGTCACATGACATCACACTTTTTGCTGATCTGGAACCGGGGTGGGCATGGCCTGCGTGTGATGCATCTGGCCCACGGGCCGTCAGTTTGATACCCCTGGTCACCTCTGCAAAGAATCCGTATCATCATCTGCAAAATCTGCATGCAGATTATTCTAGTTTATAGCAGAACAATTTTCCAGAGAGAAGCCTCTGGTAAATGATTATGTGTGAATGTTTCTGGATTGCCTCTTGATGTTATTACCATGGCTTTTCAGTGAGGAAAAGGGACCTCAGCTCTCCGTGTGTGTTTGTAGTTAGAATTGCTTTGACAAACATTGAGTACAACCCACTGTGTAATGCATTTTCACAATTCAGTTTATAGAGAAATATTTAAGTGAGAAATATTTCAAGCACTTTTTGTAAGTTTTTGAAAACAAGGTGCCATGGAACCTTACTGAAACCAGTAAGAATGCAAGCAACATATCAACAGAGACAAGAATCTTTACAAATAACAGGATATTTATTACCAATAACTTTAAAAAAGATTACATCTCCTAGATCACTGATAAATATCATTTACACTGGGGAGAAAAAACTACATAGGCTTTTTTTCTTTTTTCTTTCTTTTATGGGTTTTTTTTGTTTTGTTTTTGTTTTTACATAGAAGTAACCATATCAAACAAAGAAAGGAACACAGCTTGAAATACTGACAATATTTCTCTGATTAACATCCCTAAGTTACACAAGTGGAAACCTGATTATGAATTACTTAATAAATATATTTTGAATGTTTTAAAAGTTACTTTGCATGTTTTGGAAGCAAAAGAAACAAATTAGAGGAAAATTTAAACTATCAAGAAGGATAAATTATAAACTTCAGTAGAATATTTTTAAAATTAGGGAAAATAATTTAAAGTCATTTTAATTTTAATTATTATTGTTTCATCTGAGCATAATTACAAAATATTTCCCATAGTAACAAAAATCTTTTTCTATTAATATATTTTTTTGCAATTTTTGACAAATTATCTAGTGTTCTTGTGCATGAAGACAATTCTGCACAAGTAGTCTTGTAGATGCAATACAGCAACTACATGCATTTACAAGCCACTGGATTAGCATTAATAAACTCTGCTCCAGTACTGGTTTTACTGCAATGAATGGCTATAGCATGAAAAAAGCATTATGAAGATTTGAATTCATTTGTCAGATTTTAATTGGGGTTTATCAACTTGATAGATGTGACAGACCCTGAAAGTTAAACCTTGATATTCAGAACACCCAGAATTAAACTATTTGAAATTCAATGACATACACATAGTTTTTAGAAAGAAAATTAATTTTAGAGAAGAATTATGTAGAATATTATTTATCAGACTTTTAAAATGACCCCTATCCAAGCAAGATCCTATCAATATAGAACACATATAGTTTATGAAATCAATCTGTAAAGAATTGTAGGTTACATGTACCTGTCAAAATAAATTTATTTAGTAAAGAAAGCAGCATTTAAAGTCTTCAAGATTTCATGATTAAAATGGTGAAAATGCAGAATTTCATTCATTTATTTAAATAAAAGATTAACAAAAATGGTTGAACTGATAACTTTCAGATTTTCACCACACTCAGAATTTTGTTCTTTGCTATACAGCAGCAATGTCTGGCATTCATTACATTAAGAGTGCTGACACTAAGAGGAATGAATGATAATGTAATGTTCGTTCAATTTTATAGAAATGTAAATCAGTACATTCAGGTAAAAAACCATGTTATTTGTTACCAAAACATTATCGCAAAGGAAAGAATGCTATGAACTTTCACAAAACCTAAAAGCATAGCATGTTTTACTTGTAGTTTATTTATGTGATAAAAAAGGCAGTCTTGTATGTCCACAGTGGCATGATTCATCCCATTCTGCATATATGGAGATCCTGAAAAGTTACTATGCTGAATTTTTCTCTTCTCTCCATCTGTCTCTTGCCCTGCCCCATCCTCTAGATACCTATCCCAGTTGGCAAGGATCATAAAGTTTATGCTTCGTTGTGGTTATCTAGCATCTAGTTATCTTTCTTCTTTAGATGGAATTAGAGTGAACCACAATGGAAGCTTTGAGTTATAAGTGTTTTTTTTAAGCATTGTAATGCATTGTGCATAGTGCAGCAAATTTAGGCCTGAAGGAGAAAGCAGGCTTCATCAAATACCTGTGGGAATCTTTTCCATGCCCAAATAGACATACACATGTACACATACCCCTGGAAAGATGGACTGAAGCTAAAATAATTCATTGTGCATTCTTGTCAACCTATACAATCAATTTGAAATCAGTTACTGACAATTATGGCCATCTGGCCAGAAACATTCCAAACTATATATTTATGCAATGATAATGTCATCAATAGCATTTCATAGCAGAGGGGGAAAACAAATCAGTATCTACATCATATATTAACTTTAAAAAAGTCTATAAAACACTAAATATATAATAAAAATATGCATATAAGGACATATGTAAACTGCTTTGGTAACATCATATTTCAGATGTTTTCAGTGCATTGCAGAGTTTCCAAGGAAACTTCAGACAAAGATATATTTGCTTTGAGGAAGTACTGTATAATGCCATTCCTAGAGAAGCATAAAACATTTTTTTCCAGTAGTAAGATGTACTTGAACAACAATATTACTTAGTACTGGGTGGCTTCAAAACAACTAGCTAAATGTTGCTTAGTTATATTATAAACAGGAAGTCCTTTCAGTATTTTTTGTCATAAACTTGATCTCGCTGTGAGGGAAATCATTATTGTGCTGATGGCTGACAATGTACAAGCATTTGAAGTTGAAGCTCCTGACCCTCTCGCATATGCATCTAAGAGAAGAAAGAAATCAAGATGTTTAATATATCAGAGCTTAACCGGAAAAATGAATGAAGCGTCTGCCTCAGATGTCATGCACATTTTTCCGCACAGCTGTTTCAGATAAAATGCTTTTATGTAAAGACTGCAAAACATGCATATTATGTCTAAATGGGAAAAGATTATTTCAAACTTCCACTGCTACCCTTTTTCATCCCAATTAAGGTACAGCTTGTACAGCTTTCCATATTTTTTTGTCATTTTCACTATTTTCACTCTATAAGGTAAAGAGTTTGAAGTCAGTCTTGAGGTCTTTTGATTTCAAGGAGAGATCCATCCACACAATTCTGCTAGCAGCATTGGGACAATAGTTTACTCCTACTTTTCTCTTAAGAAGTAACCACAAGGACTTCCGGGTTGAGCCCTCCTTGCTGATGGACCATAGATCGTGACTGTCCACCACTATGGTCCGTGCTCTTTCGTTGGAGAGCCCTGATCATTGCAATTAGGGGCTGAAGCTGCCTTGGAGGGGTGGTGGAGTAAGGGGAAGCCACATGCCAGGTTGAGGGGAGCCACATCTCCCCTCCTTGGCTTGGTCTTTTTCCCCCCGAAGATGACTGAAGTGGTGGTCCAAAATGGCCACCCCAAAGAGGAGGACTCAGCTGGACTAAGATTTGTGCAGGAGTGAAGAAAGAGGTGGATAACATCTGAGCCGGGACAATTGGGTGAAACAACTAAACAAAAGTACCCCAGGATTAAAGTAACATGGAACTTTTAAGAAAAGAAAAGTGCATGGCGAAAATACAAAGGGACAGGAAAAATATAAGAAAATAATTTTGACAGCTAAGCAGGGCTTCGAACTGGGAAAGGAAGAAGCTGGAACTAAAGACTTAGTTAAATTGGACTAAAATATTTTGGCAATAAAAAGACATAAAATAAAGCTGGACTTAAGATTGCCAAAAAATAATAATAATAAAGTTTACAAATTGGAGACTGGACTGTGCTGGAATATTGAGGTTTGAAAAACCCTAAATAATAAAATAGGGGGAAAAGGTAAAGACTTTGTATAACGGAGAGTGCCATCTTCTGACAATTTAATCTCAAACAAAAGGGAAATCATCCTGTTTCTGTATGAACTTATGTCGATATAATGTTAAAGAAATATTGAAACAAAGTAAAAAATTTAGAAAGTGAAAGTGGAACCAGAATAAGGAAAGAAGCAAGGAAAGACTGCCTGTGGGATTGATTGATGGTTTTGGTATAGATTCTGGGTTGGAACAATTGAAAACTTTAGAAAACTTGAAGAAGAAAGAAGGAAAGTAAAAGTATTTTTTGTGGACTTCAACGATTATAAAATATAAGAGTGTGTAATGATGATATCTCTTCGGGAATTAAGAATGGAACTTAAAAATATGAGAGAATTACTACAGGAAAGAGGCGAATCACTTTGCTCTGTGTTAGAAGAAATGGAAAGGGCGATTGAAGAACAAGAAGAAAGAACTTCAGAGGAGGAGGAGTCGACTCAAGGAGAAGGCATTTTAAATAGACAACACAAAGAACACTACAAAGACGAGGGGAAAGAAGGAAGGCTAAAAGGTTGAGATTTAAGAAGATAATTAAAAAAAAGGAATACCTGTGAAATCAGGAGAGGTAGAAAGGCGCAGCAGAAAAGGGGAAAGGAAGATATCAAGAAAGAGAGGGATATAAACCAGAATGAGAAAAGATATGGGAGAAAAAGGGGGAGGAGAGGCAGTAAGAGACAGGTGCAGGAAATAAACATGGAAATAGTAAAATGATGAAAAGAAATGGTTTTTTCAGAGATAATGGTTGATGAATTAAAAGGGGGATTCTGCAGGATGACAAGGGCTAACAAGAATATATTTGCAGTTAAAAAATACTTAGAAAATAGGGTAATATAGATTATTAATGGAGGAATAGATAATGATAACTCTTATTAGATGAATATACATTTTTATTTTTTAAAAAGAAAAGTTAAGGTCTATTGAAGAAATTGTAATAATTGAAATGAATGTGAAGATGTTTAAAAATGAGGTCAATATCAGTGACCAGGAATTAAATAGTCAATCTTTCCCTTTTACCTTTTTGAAATTAGAAATAAAATTAAGGGAGGAAAATATATTGCAGAATCCAAATGAAAAGATGTAATGATTATTAGTGTAACTACTTAAAAATAAAGGTTTATTGGGAATTAAGATGAGGGAATAAAGGTATATTTTAACCACTAAGGTGTCACACTCAAAGCAGTAAAAGGGGGGAAACCTATGCTTGTTTCTTTTTCTTTTGTGTTAAAACTTGTATTAATCTAGAATTTATAGAAAGAATGTGTGATGGAAAGAAAATATAACAGATTAAAGAACTATTTAAATTAATAAGCTAATATAGACTATTAAAAGGAAGGAGAGACATTGGTAACTTTTTTTTATTAGGCAAACATATATTGTTACTTTTTGTTTTTAAAATAAATATCAAAGGATTATATTTGAAATAATTGAAATGAAACGAAAGGATGTTTGGATTGAGATTAATGTAAGAGACTAGAATTAATTTGCTTGTTTCTCTCCTTTCTGAAAGTTTGGAATGGAAAAGGTAATAATAGAATTAAGTATGCATATATGAACTATTGTCATATTTGTATGTAAAAGTGATGACCCGGAAAAATGTTGTCCACTAAAAAGAGTTTTTTGTTTTTATGTGAAAAACTGAATAAAATTTGTTTAAAAAAAAGAAGTAATTGCAAGAATAGATTCTGCATCATCTTTCATACATGACCTGTATTTTTCACAGATCTGATGAAAATGTTTCTAGTTCACAAAATCTTATCAATGAATTCGGGAATTTCAAAATACAATAAACTTCTAATCATTATGAAATCAAATCTATGAGTAAGGAAGTAGCTCAATGTGCACACTTGAATACCTGCAGAGTCCCTTGTTGGAGGCAAAAGGGACAGTGTGTTTAAAGGATCCTATTTCATTTTAATTTTCTTCTGGCAGTATTATTTTAGATACTTTCTTATTTTCCCTAAAACAGGCAGTATTCTGTCCTTGTATAAAAATACTCTGGTCCAATGAATAGTTTCATCCCCAGTTAAAATACCAATCTTACACAATTAATGACAAATGAAACAAATACAGATAGTCCTTGACTTACAACAGTTAATTTGGAGACCACTTGAAGTTACACCATCATTTAAAAAAGTGATTTATGACTATTTTTCACACTTATGACTGTAACAGCATTCTCATGGTTGCATGATCAAAATTCAGATGCTTGGCAAATGACTCATTTTTATGATCTTTGCAATGTCATAGGATTATGTGATCACCTTTTACAACTGACAAGGGAAGTCAATGGGGAGGGGCAAATCCACTTAACTGTGCTACTAAACAACTGCACTTAACAATTGTGACAAGGTTATAAAGTGGGGCAAAACTCACTTAACAAACATCTCATTTAGCAACATAAGTTTTGGGCTCAATTGTCATAGGTCGAGGACTACCTCTAACACAAATTGAAATGTTGAGTTGTGTGGTGTTTCAAGAATATTTCAGTTTGTTTTTTTTTAGCTAGGAGGAAGGAGGTGAGGCTTATTTCTCATGCACCCCTGCTTTAGCATACAATTTAAAATTGATATCTTCATGTTCCACTTCATGCGGTGAAAAAGCAACAATTATATGGAGCAGTGGTGGTACAGTGGTTAGAATGCAATGTTGCAGGTTCCCTGCCCACAGCTGGGAGTTCAATCCTAACCTGCTCAAGGTTGACTCAGCCTTCCATCCTTCCGAGGTCAGTAAAATGAATTCCCAGATTGTTGGGGACACTATATGTTGGCTCTACAAACTGCCATGGCATATAAGTCTAAGTGCTATTGCTTTTGCTATCAGACAAGATGGCCACTGAAACTTATTTCTCTAATAAATTTGTGTGTTACATCTAACACCAAAATCAAAAGAATGTAGTTATCAATTTCATCAATTTCATCAACTTTATATACTATGATTTTTAATGACACACACACGTAAAATTGTAATCCAAAGTCATTATGCTTTAAAACAATAGTTGGAGCTGTTTCACATCTGTATTGCTTCCAGCAAGAAGATATTGTCTTATGTTAATCCCTACCAATTGAACTCTGAAACTATGCTACATCTTTGGAACACGTCTGGTTCTCTAGAAGCCTACAGATTTATTCCAGGACAGCCTGAAGTCAAAATCTGATAAGAAACAACAATAGTTCTAGTTGTTCAGGCACCTTTTTAGTCAGAGCCATTTAGCATTTTAAAGATATTGGAGATAAAACAGATTTTATCTCCTTAGTCAGTTGCAAAAGTAGAAAGGAAAAAGTAGAAATGTATGGTGTTTTTTTTTAAACTCATGCACTTTATACTTAGGTAAACCAATACCATAAACAAAATACTCTTACTTGTTATCTTTGGAATTCGAATCTGTTCACTGCTGTTGCCATCCCCTCCATCACTGATTGGCTTTATTTCTATGATATAATCTTCATCAAAGGGCAATGAAAGCTCCACAGATGTTTTGTTTGTTTCTATAATAGACATACTCTTTTGTCTATTCCATCTATAGAACACCTGCAACATATATTTAGTTAAGGGAAATTACTATATAAAAAGAATTACACTATAAAAGAAATAATTTCTTTTTTTAGGTACAAAGCATCTTAAGTTCTCTAATGCAAATGACTTTTTTAAAAAATAGGGAATTATTTCTTCCTGTAGATCAGAAGACACTTCTGACACATGCTTTTATTTTTTAAAGCTGTTCTTATCTTCATTTAGCTTTGAAAGGTCGGGAGTTCCAGGAGACATCCCTCATCTTATGGAATTTTGTAGGCTGATTAGAAAGCTGCTTCCATGACACAAAGTTGAGATTAGTTTAGGCAACTTTATTTTGTAGGATTTGTACTTGCTGTACAAACTACCAAATACTAATTGCTAAGGGGCCACTATGTTTCTAGATATATTTAATGGCAATTATTTTAATAAGGGGCATGGCGGCAATGCTGGGCTTGTCTGGAAGGTTGGCCATGAGACCTAAATATCACATGATGGAGTGAACTTCTGTTACTTGCCCCAACTTCTGCCAACCTAGCAGTTTAAAAAGCATGTGAATGCAAGTAGATAAATAGGTACCACTTTGGTGGGAAGATAACTGCATTCTGTGTGTCCTTGGCACATAGTCATGCCAGCCACAGAAATATCTGGTTCTTTGGCTGTGAATCAGAGATGAGCACTGACCCCTAAAATCGAACATGACTGAATAGGTGAAATTTTTACCTTTTATCTTTTTCAAATTATTTAAGTAGAAAGTTAGTAATGGACATAGGGATTACAGCTCAAGTGATTCTGACTCGTTGTGATTCTTTTATGAGATTTATTTTTTGCAGTTAATTCACATTAATTCTACAAATAACCATATGTTTTCCTGCCTATTACCTACTTTGTATCCTTTCACTTCAGATTCATTATTCTGTGCTTTAACTTGATCCCAGTTCAGTATAATCTTAGAGTCTGATGAATTCCATATAATGTTTCCAGGAGGCTGACTTGGAGCTGAATTCAAAACAAAGAAGTTTGAGTATTATTAAGAAGCAACATTTTTCTTACATAACATAGATTTGTCTAAAATGTATTTCAGGTGCTCTAAGTCGAAGATGTATATTTTATAACAAATAGATGAATGTATTAAAATTCACCAGCATGTCCAACAGTTGGGAGCAAGTCTTGTTCTGATCAGAAAACAAATATTTTCCCAGGCCAGCTTTTAATTTTCTGTGTCCCTATTATAAAATTAAGGCTGAATGAATAGCAGCACTCACAGAAGTATAATCAATTAAAACAAAGTCGTGCTAATTGAACTGCTCAAAATTATGATGATGCGGAATGAGGACTTAAGAATGGATCATCGTAGAGTGGCAACCATTATAGTGTCCTGCAATCATCTAATCACCATTTGCAATCTTCACTGCTGGCTTTCAACAAGCAATATCATTAGGGAAGCTGACAGGAGATTGCAAATGGTAACGGCGTGACCACCGGATTTGGAAACTGGATAGCATTCATTTAATAATGGCCACTGGGATTTCTGCAATGGTGATTATAGACAGATAGCATGATCACACAAGGTTGCACTTAACAACCGTGTTGCTTAGCGACAGAGTTGCTGGTCCCAATAACACTTGTTAAGAGAGAACAATCTGTACATTGAAATAAAAATCCTGTCTTTATCCATGCACCATACTCACGTGGCTTTTTGGTTGTCACATTGACTACCGCGCTGGATGGTCCCATCCCTGCTGTGTTGTAAGCTTTGACAGCCAAATGGTATAAAGCACTGCTCTTCAAGTTGCTGATTTTTGCAAAAGTCTGATTGGTCATAGTTTTCATTCTTCCAGCCTGCTCTTCTTTATCTCCATGTTTCCAATATCTAACCTATGTACACATATTCAAATGTATCCTTATTGAAATCTACAGCTATATAAGTTTATACCATCTGCATTACAATTCCAAATAATGAAAGTTTCCCTGAAATGTGTCTTTAAGTTTAAAGGAACACACATATGTCCATTATGTAGGTTTAAATTGATGCTACTAAGTTTGTAATTGATAAAATACCAATTGCTAAAATTCATCTCTTTTTAACATTGCTATCATCATCATCATCATCATCATCATCGTCATCATTGAAAGATGATCATTTCCTTGGGGCAAATCTGTTTTGGGCCAAGTAGTCGCACTGTTCCAATGTTTATATGTCCCCTGTAAGCAAAGAACTTCCTTTCCATATTTGCTTAGATTCTTGATGGTTAAAATTAGGGATGAACATTTTTTATTTTATATCAAGTGAGATATGTGCTCTTAATACCTTTTTCACCAAGAGGTTTTGCCATAATTCAATTTTTATACAATAATATAACTTTAATATAAACAACAGCACCTTAGTTACTGAAGAATGTATTTTTAGTACTTTCTCAGCTCTTCCTAAATGTTCGTAGGGCCTGTACATCAGGAGGCAGGAGGCATTCTAAATATTTATTTCATGCATGAAGTAAATAATCCCTTTCCAGAAAATTTTACAACCAACAACTTACTTGTCTATATCACTTGATGTTCTGTTTAAGTACTTGTTTTCAACATAATGTAGAAGTAAAAACGTCCCATTTTAACTTCTAGTTAATTCTTTTATTTTAATCTAATTAAAAAATATTTGTTTAGTGTTCCTGTGGTCATGAGAAGAAACACAACATTTGTAATGTAACAAAATGGGATTTAGACGATTTGTTACACAATTCAAGGACTTTGTGGAGGTAGCAAATGGCTGATTATTTATGCATTTCTTGAAACATTGACGATTTTTAGCTGCAGTATGATGCATTAAGAACTGTAGCCATATGGTCCTGAAGCTCATTCATAGCAATTGGATTTGTATTTCATTGGTTAATTGATTTTTTCATGCATTTAAAACCAATAAACATTATAAGCCTACCTCATAGCCCTGTATTCTTCCTTTGCTCTGGGTCTCTGGCAGCAAAGACCAAAAGACTTCTATATCTGAAGCAGAAAGGCTTTTGGCAAAGACATTGGTGGGAGCTTTGGTGGGTTCTAAAAAAACAAGCACAATAATTAGCTGTAGTATCATGCCTATAAATGACACCTATAAATATCACCAATTTGGGAATCCATAAGATAAAATCGGGTATAGATGGCCTTAGGCTACCTAAGAACCTGATTTACTGAGAACTCTGGAAATTGTGCTTATGCACAGTACCCAGTCATCTAACCTGGTACCTGTCCATAGGAATTGGGCTGCACAAGTAGTGTGCAAGTGAGTGAAGTTCCACCTGCATATGTGCGGGATCTAGATTGTGAACAAAATCATCTTCTCCAGTCTGCAGAAGACAACTTTTCTTCTGACACCAGTCCCTGGTACCAGAAAAGTTGGGCATTGCTGTACTAGAAGGAACTTCTAATCAAGCTATATTAAACTTATGTAATATTTAATCTGGAGTCTAATTTACAGACTATGAGGCCAAGAACAAATTACTTCTATCCTAAGAGTAAGAACAAAGTGATTCGTTCTTACTCTTAGGAGGATAGAAATAATTTTGAATGTTTCTTTGCTTCTACTCTAGTTAATATTTGCATTGGTTTGATGAGGAAAGATGGCCAAAAAAAAAAATCTCTATAGGGTTGCCTCTTATTTTAATGGTGGCATCATCTCTAACATAATTTATAAGTCAAGTTAGACTTGTTACCCTAACCCTACCCATCTTTTGGATGTAACTAACTTTTGTATTCACTATCAATCACATTAAATGCTGTGTAAATGTTACATAACAGTAGAGTAGAGCAGGGGTCGCCAACCTTTTGGACCTCAAGGACCATCAAACTCATAATTTTAAATCCCAAGGACCACTAACCAGTTCTGTGGGCGTAGCCTAATTTGTGGGTGTGGCTTAGTGGTCATGTGAGTGGCTGGGCATGGCTTGTATGTAAATATTATAAATATTTATATAAATATTGAATTTTTTATAAAAAGAGCAACTTTTACCCAAAATCAGGCAAAGCAGGCAGGCAGATTGAGTTGCTCACAGAATCATTCAGTGATCTATCTATCTGCCATCGGCTAGCTCAATCTCTCAAATTTGCTTGCCGTGAGTCTGCACTGAATTTGCTTGCAAGCAAACCTTCAGTCCTAAGGGAGGTTCAGCTGTGCTTAAAAGCAGAGCTGAAGATCTAAAGACTAGCTAGAAAGCAAGAAATCCAACCATTTCCTGCTTACTACCTAATCTAAATCTCCCGACACAGCAGAACAGCTGATGGTCAGAAAAAGGAAAAATAGCAATTTAGCAAGCAAATTTGCCAGGTAAGGAGTGAGTGGGCAGGGAGGGTTCCCACGGGCCATGTGGGTGGCGCAGTCTCGTGTTTCTGCGCAGCCTAGATTAATTGCTTTCGGGGCTGCTCTGGAGGTGAGATTTCTCAGTGGCCCACCGGTTGGTGAACACTGGAGTAGAGAATAATATCACATTATTTAGCAGTTACACTTTTATATCTTTTATATCTATATATTTATATCTGAAATCTACCTTTTTAGGTGGATGTTAAGATGTTTTAAAAACAGCTATTGTTGAGGGAAATGTATAGATCCTATGATTGAATTCATAGGCATTTAGAAATTATGTGGCTATAGAGACAAACAAAAAATTATGTGGCTATAGAGACAAACAAAAAACAAACAACTGAAAGAGGAGTTAGTGTTGTTTAGTTCCTAAGTTGTGTTGACTCTTTGTGGCATCAAGGATCAAGGATAACAGGCCCTTTTGCCCTACACTGTCTCCTGGAGTTTGTTGCCTAAATTCATGTTAATTGTGTTGATGATACTATCTAAACATCTCATCCACTGCCATCCCTTTTTTCATTTTTCCTTTAATCTTTCCCAACATCAGAGTCTCTTCCAGTGATTCCTCTCTTCTCATTTGTGTTGTGGCCTGTCAGCCGCTGGCCCCTCCAGCAGCCGAATCAGATGAGGAAGTGGTGTAGGAGTCAGGGCAACCTTAGAGCTCCAAGGGGGAAGAGGGAGCTGTCAGAGATAGACACAGAGGTGGAGCCTGGACCATCCATCAGCTCTCAAATCAACAACCCCCAGGTCTGAAGGTGGCTGGTGAGGAAGAGGAAGAATAGCTGGGTCTAGTGCCTGATGCATGGATACACAGAAGGCAGAGGAGAGGAGACAGTGGAAATCTATGGGTTGATCCTTGGGATGGAAGAGCCACTGCTGCTAGCGAAGCCCCAACTTAGCTCTGGGGATAAAAAGCAGGGGGCGGAGATCAATAGGTGTGGCAGACAACTATTCATTTCTCTGCTGGACAGACTTGTTAACCTGCTGTGTGTGTGTGTGAGAGAGAGAGACTTTTTACCGGGGCTGCTGGTGCTCCTAATAGAGGGAACATTTGTTTAACCACAGAGGGTTTGTTGTGTTTGGGAGCCGGGTCAGAACAATTTGGTGGCCAAAGTATTTAAGCTTCAGCTTCAGTATCTGTCCTTCCAAAGAACAGTCAGGGTTGATTTCTTTCAGGAAGAGGAGCTGGTAAGTCCTAATTATTTTCAGCTTTCAGATCTTTTGAACATGGTTATAATCAGGCTGAACTAGGCTGACTGTTTTTAAATCTGACTGCCAGCCGATCTTTATAATTTTAGGCAAAACCTGACTTTGAGTTTAGACAAAACTGTATTTGAGATTAATTTGAAACTCTGATGATTAGACTCAGGTCTTTAAAGACTGAACCTTCACAGATTATGATTCACAGCTGAGTATGATTATCTCCATTGTGTGGATTATCCAATTATGTTCAAAAAATCAACTAAGATTTTATTGCTAAAATTAATTTAGAGAAAAATGTACTGCTTTAGTGAGATAAGGGAATAGTTTATAATTAGACAAGACTAATTCATGCTAAATTTCAGTACCATTCTTCAGAGAATAAATGCACAACAGACATTAATTATGCATATCTGTTTATATGTACACATACATACACATAAAATAGGGTTAGCAATTATCAAAAGGCTTTACAAAACATTATCACAATCCTAATGTAATTTTGGAATAGGTTTAAACTTAATATGCAAACATGCTACTGCATGAGCTGCCAACACTGATAATAGTGCCATTAAGCATTAAAATGAGAAATTAACATTTTAATTTGTTAAAATATTTTGACCCAAAAGGTCCTCTTAAACCTCTCAATGAGCAGTGTAACATAATGCATGTCTCAAATGAATTATCTCATTCTTCAAACAAAATGTCACCATGATTAATATTAATTTACAAGAGAATGAAACCTAAAATTGGATACATGCCATTTCTTAGCAGCATATGTGGACATTAACAATAAGAGGGACGCAAGGCCATTTCAAAAACAACCAGTTTATCATATACTGCCAGATTATTTGGGTATGCTTACCTTCATCGGCCGAATAAACAACTGTGATAGAGCTGAAAGGACCTTCTCCTTTGTTGTTGTACACTCCAACTTTAACTTCGTATGGTGAAAATGGAGGTAAACTCTCATTCCGAAACACATATTTGGAGGCATCTGGTGAAACCACTACAGTCTGCATCCAGCTTATTGTACCAACTGGACGGAAGGCAACAACATAGCCAAAGCCTCCTCCATTCTGTAACTCTTCTGGCACTGTCTGTACCAAGAGAAGAAACATGGAAACAGGTTGATGAATAGCTTGTGTTTATTAAGAGGCACAGCAGTTATCCCAAAGCAGTTATCCACCCACTGTGGAACACTTTTTCCTGGCAAAGGAAATAAGCACTCAATTTTAAAAACATCCTATGTTTTATTGCTAATTTGTTTCAGACTGTTCATGTCCTTTTAATAGTCTATTTGCTTTTTGAAAAACCTTTAGTCCTAAAATAGTGTAAGTTAGAAGAAGAACAAACTATACTTATAAACATTACAGACAATTAATAATCAAGACCGAAGCACCTAACACCTACAAAGAGACAATTGTAAGTTTATTGTCTCCCATAAATGCACTAACTGTGGTTTTATCCAAGTAAAAGTTATACTCAAGAATCGAATGAAGTGCTTATGCAGATGGAAGATTACTTTTTGCTTTATATAGCAGCTACAATTCTTGACAACAATAGCTGAATAGAATCCTTCTTTAGCTCCGAGTCACAAACGTGAGAAAGGCTTCTATTACAGTATTTTTGAAGCAGAATAAGAAAAGAGCTTTAGCAACTTCTTAAGTTTTTCTAAAAGCATCTTGGTGGAGCTTAGGAATGTTTCTGGTTCTTTAGTATTACTATAAATGGAAATGTTACACCTTACCCCCCCCCCCTAATTCTATGTTATGTTCCCATGAAGTATATGCTAGTTCATCTTTGATATGAAGATCTACTGTACATAATCAAGGTTGGCTGAACTATTAGGCAGAAGGGGAGAACCACTTTAGGATGATAGATTATGAAAAATAGCAACCATCAACTCTAATTTAGTCTTTATGCTGTCTATATCAACTGCCTGCATCCCTGGGAATTCTGGGAGTTGAAATCTGCACAGCTTAAAGTTGTTAAAGTTGAGAAATATTGGTCTACCCAATAAATTTATAGCACAGAATTTAAGAGGAGAGTATACCACCTTGTTCTTTGCCTCCTGTAGAAGGGCGACCTTACAAAACATTTATAATTCTCATCTTGTCCTTCTATAGCCTTGATCTAGAAAGAACTGATATTGAGGAACAAATAATCTTGTCATTTTAAAGCATGATTAATCCTGTAAACAAGGAATAGTCAGTAGGTTTGCTGGAATTCCATGAGGTCCAATCAAATGTGAAAAATTGGAAGCAGATGACAGAAAGAAGAAGTCTAATAAAGTGTTCCTCTTAAGATTAAAACAGTGCTGGCTGTTCTGGAATATGATAAGACTGACATGGTCATCCCATATTTGGTGTAGGATATTGCTATTTTATTCGTCTCTATCAAAAGAGTTATTACGTTTGCCCCAAGAGCAAAGACCTAATTCTATGAATTACACAAGGATAAAATGGAAATATAGACCTCAATATTTTGATGGTTATCTTTATGCATCATTGATTTATTGTTGTTTAATTGAACACACATAAGTCTGCTCTTCATATCATTAAGAGAAAATGCCGGCAGAGATTATTAACTGTGAGCAGCTAAGTCTTCCGCTTAAAATGTTGTTTTTTTTTAACAAATTTTATTAATTTTTTAAAAAAACATACACAAACAAACAAAACATAGGATGTAGTAACATAAAATATCTTTTTCTAAAAAACACATAGAATATCTTATTTAAAAATAAGATAATTCCAAATTATCACATTTCTATACAGACACAATTTAATATATATATTTATCTTATCTGTTCAACTTCATATCCTTTCCCAACTTCTCTTTACTGCTCCCTTTCCTTCTGTTTAATTGTATTTCTTTTGCCTTAAATTATATATATTCATTATATATAGTTTCATTAATTCTCTTCCAAAATCCTTTCAAACAAACAAACATTACACAAAACATAAGTACATAAAACTTCTTTTTGGAAAGCGGCTTACCCAGGGTTAAATTTTTTTGTACAGACATAAATCAAATTCGTGCTCACATAATATGCTATTTCATATCTTATTTAACATTCTATATTTTCTATATATTTTCTCTCTCCTATTCATTCTTTTAATTCTATTTTATTTATTTCATCTCAATTTAAATAATTATACTTGCATCTTTTGTCCGTTCTCTTTCAATCATCTATTTTTCCTTTCTTTCTAATACAATATTTCTCTTGTAACCACTGGTTGAAGTATGACAACTTTTTATCTTTCCCCTAAATTTTACACTTAAAATAATACATACTTTCCATACTGATTCTGCTTCGTACATTCTAAGTACTACATTTCAAAATAATAAAACAAGCAAACAATATTAAATTTAATAAGTAATAATAAAACCAAGAAAAAAGGAATATTGAGTTTATAATATAATAAGAGCAATATTTCATAGTAAATTAAACTCTATTATCAAATCTTAAACATTTTCATAACTTCCCTTTAATGCATTATTAATTCATATAATATTTTAATTTTCTAATTCAATTTCAAATACTAATATCTACCATACAATCTTATGTACTTTTGCAGAATCATTTTTATAAAATTATATCTTACCCCTTATCTCTGAAAAAAACCTGTTTTTTAACATCTTGTTTAAAGCTTTTATGACTTCTCTTTCCTTTTTCCCTTTCTTTCTTATCAATTCTAGCTTTTTGACCCCCCCATCTCTCAAGTTTCACTCTCTATCTTCCCTCTCTGTTGTATTTCTCTTTTCTGTTGCTTTCTGACATCATATCGATTTTTCATCTTATTTTTCTTTTTCTTGGTTGCTTTTTTAAGTCCTGAATTCACCATTTCTTTGCCCCCCTTACGCTTTTCTTCCTCCACTAAGAGTATTTGTCCATTAAAGATGGCTTCTTCTTCTTGATCCCAGCCTTCCTGTCGCTGTTGTAATTCTTGATAGGTAGAAATCGCCATTTCTAAAAAGTGGAAAATAGATCCAGAAGAGCCCATGCCTTCCTGTTCGTCTTCCTTCAATTTTTGAAATTCCATTTGTAATTCTTCAAAAGATAGTGCCATTTTTTCCCTTTTTTTTAAAACAACCCAAATATCTTTAATCTTTCAAGAAATAGTTCACAAAGCAAACCAAATCAAAGCAAACAGTTTCATTTAGCACTTTCTTCTTTTTATATTTTCTCTTCCTGGGGTAGAATTCAAATACACAGTTCCAAAGTAATCTTCTAGAAGTCGTAATACCTTTTATTTCTGATCTTATAAACTCAAAGCAGTCTCCTTCAGTACAATCTTAAAATAAATCTTTACTTCTTCCCTTCCACTTATAGCAAATAAAAAGAGTTTTAAGTTTTTAATTCCAATGTCCAGAAATCGTTTATCGCCTTGACTTTAAATTTCAAGTTTACCTTCTATGCCCAAGCAGGTTTTCCAGATTTCCAACTGCTGTTTCTGTGGGAAGGGAGAGTGAAAGAAAGTAACTTTCCCTTTCAGCTTTTTTCCGCCGCTTTTACGATCTTCCTTGGGAGACAATGTATCCTTCAAACAATTTAGTTTCCAGGGTATTTAGAGATTTCTTGTAGTCCCGGTTCAGCCAAAACTTTCGCCTTCACCTACTTCCTCCTGCACAAATCTTACCCAGCTGCAGGCTTCTTTGTGGCGGCCATTGCTGACTGCCGCTCCACCACCTTGGGAAAAAGGGGTTTTGCCGGCTGAGGAGGGGGTTTGCGATACCTCCAAACCCAAATCCGGATCCCCTCTCTCTTCGGCTGCCTCTACGGGGCAGCCTTATCCTCCGGATCCGTCTGGATCGGAGGAACCTCGGCAGAGAGCGCAGCAGGAATCGCAGAGGATCGCGAATTCCTGCTGCCGCCAAAGCCTTGCAAAACCCGGAATGCCGCTTAAAATGTTTTGTTCTGTGGGTGGGATGTAATAATTTTTCCTTTGGACTTTATGTTTGGACAGTTACGATTCTTGTGCTCATTTTTGAGCTCACAGTCAAACAGCGACCAATAAAGGTTTTCTGCTGTGTTGCATTATACCTGAATGCTTTTCTGAGTTGCAATGGCTGGTAAATGTCACTAGTTACCCACTTACTCATAGTTGTTTGGTTCCTATATCCTGTTTTGTGTACCTTGTGCCATGCATTTGTACAAAGGAATGACATGCGTAAAAGATGGAATACACGAGACTTATTCAAGGCAGGTTAAGGGGCTTAGTAGATCTGTGCTGTACAACATTTGGAAAAATACCAGAATGACAATTTGGAAAAATACCAGAATGACAATTTCTTAGAACATTAATCAACAAGTAATTTGGAGAAGAAAAAGAGGCTCTCAAGTGAACTGATTAAGGCAATGCAAGTGGAAAAATAACAGAGTCATATGCAGCACTAGATTCACTACTCACAGAACGCCACCGCCGTGTGAACTGCATTGGCTTCCAGTAAGCTTCTATATGCAATTCATATAGAATTTTCATCCTATCAGTCTACTTGCAGGGCTTTTTCTCCCCAATGGTTTCTGCCTATGCCAGCAGATCTGTCAGTGAGTAATGTCATCTATTGGGTCCTAGAAGTGGGATTTCTCTGCCATGTCTCCTATATAACCCGCCTCCAAAGTATGGACAGCTCCAACTTTGCTGGGCTTATGGAAGTTGGCCCTTTCCCCAGAGACTGGAGGCAGGCTGTTATCTTAGGAACTCCACTGTGAATGTATAGCATAGCTATTTTGTGCTTTTAGTGAGAGGCCCATTTTTTGTGTGTGATTTTGTTTTATTATTGCTGAAGTTTTATATGACACGTGCACCACCGAGAGTTTTGTCAGAGAAATGCAGCCTTACAAATTTGATTAATCAATCAATAAATACTGAAGCATGAAAAAAAATCTGCCTATAATTGCCCAAACTTGCAAGAATTTATAAAAATAGCCTGGATCCATAGTGTTTCTGAGCTATTATACAGAGTTATGATACATTTTCCACCTTAACTTTTTTGGACCTCAAGTCTAGACTGGCCAGCTAGACTGCATTATGGAAAGTGTGTGTGCGTACATATGTGTTTGTGTGTGTGTGTTTGTATGTGGAAGAGAAAGAATGAGAGTCAAGGATTAAAGCTTTTAGCTCAGAGAGTGGAAAACCAAAGCTATAGCCACATTTGTTTTTATGTATTCACATTCTCTGAATAATAAGAATAAGTAGCACTGAAGATATCAGAAAAAATTCTTAGAAAGGTATCAATATTGTAATGTTCACTTTTTTCTTCTCTTTCTCAGTAAAACTTTTAAAGCACATTTATTTCATGCTCAAATATAGTTCTCAGAAGTTCTAAAGCCTAGGTCTTTGAAACTATTCAAACTATTGGATCACAGACCTCCAGCTTTTCACCAATATATCTCTCCACACATTTGTGTGCTGTTTCTATTTTTGCAGATGAAATATACAGTGTAAATTTTGAAGCAAAGAACATGACTATTCTAACAAAGATGTGAACACTAGCCTGTGTATTGAAGTATGGTGTAAACTACTAGCAAGCAAACAGTCTAATCTCAAGGCAATTACCTGACAAAAGGCCTGTTTGCAAAGTTTCTAAGTTTATTAATTTTCATCATTATCATTATATTTCTTTCATAAACACTGTTCCTGACAAACCCTTTACATAAATTTGACTGTTGGAAAGAAGAAGAAAATAAGTTGGCTATGACAATGGTGAAAGGAGAGTTCTAGCTGGCTTGCAATCTCTCCCAAGAGATAATTGTCTAAAATTGTCTTCCTCCTTGATCATAGTTGGAAGAAAGAGAGAGAGTGATAGAAAGGTATTAATCCATCACAAATGCATATATAATCACCCTAATACCCAAGCTGATATTTGTGACCCAAGTTAATTCCATCAAGTTAACCATTATGTCACATTGGCTCTCACATTTAGAACAATTAATCAGTGGAACGACTTGCCTGCAGAAGTTGTGAATGCTCCAACACTGGAAATTTTTAAGAAGTTTGGACAACCATCTGACTGAAATTGTATAGGGTTTCCTGCCTGAGTAGGGGGTTGGACTAGAAGACCTCCAAGGTCCCTTCCAATTCAGTTATTCTATTCTGTTACATTCTAAGTTAGCTCTGAGTTAGAATGATAAATCTAACATCTTTAAAAAGTGGAACAAATAAAATCCTAAAATATCCCTAGCTTACTTCCACTCTTATTTGCCAGGTTCCAATGCTATAGTCTATTTGGACTTATTAGCCATAAATATGATAAACATGAACAATATATATATATATATATATATATATATATATATATAATATGTATTTTAAAAATGCATATAGTATATCGTATAAAAGAGTTGTGGTGGTGCAGGGGTTAGAATGCAGCATTGTAGGCTAATTCTGCCAATTGTCAGGAGTTCAATTTTGACTGGCTCAAGTTTGATTCATCCTTCCATCCTTCCAAGGTCAGTTAAATGAGGACCCATATTTTGGGGGGCAATATGCTGACTCTGTAAACCACTTAGAGAGGGCTGTAAAGCACTACGAAGCAGTATTTTTGCAATATTCATTCTGATGATGTGATCCACCCATTTCAACTGGGCTCTGAAATTCAGGGACTCACTGCTGGTAGACTCCACATGATCCAAGATCTCTAGGTTGGAGACATGCCTTGTGAACAAATACCAACATTAGAGCAGAGAGTGTTCATGTGAAATGTGTGTTTGATGTGCCTTCAAGAAATTTGTGTTTGATGTGCCTTTACTAAAGAGACCAGGATTCCTATCCATATAGAAGTTTAGGGATAATTACAGCTCTGAGCTCTGTAGATTTTTCACTTTGTGGATATAAGATGCTGTGTTATTGAGCACTTTATTATGAAGCCACCTCAGTGTCTGGTTGGTCTTGTTGATCCTGGAGTCAATTTCTTTGTCCAAGGACCCAGCACTTGAAATGATGCTTCCCAAGGATTACTTAGGAAGTAATGATGTAACCATTTCAAGTCACAGTCAACTGAACAAATGATTACCCTCATATTGAAGCCATACATCACTTACCTCCCATGTTATAACCAATTCAGATTTAGTACCACCACCTCCACTGACATTGGCTGGAGTGATTTCAGGAACTGCAAAAGGGAAGAAACATACTGAACTGTAGCAACCAAGCCAAAATGTAAATCTGATGCTATAATAACTTATTGTAATGATTTTAGACATAAGTTTGTCAGGACTTAAGAAACTCAGTTGTTTGAAATTTCAAGGCAATTTGCTAACTAAATTTGCTTTTTCTAATTTTTTTCAGATTTTTTTTTGTATATTGTATATTTTTAATTAGGATGAGCTTGCTTTTCAATGCAATATTATTTATTGTGCTTTTCCTGAATTGCTACAAATGTCCCGAATCTTCTTGCAACTAATGGCTTCGGTCAGTTTTCTCAAACTGTGGTTCATGACCTCAGGTAGGAAGGAACAGTGAGGGAGGTTTTAATTAAAAAAAAAACTGTATTAGGGACAGATTGAACCTTGGACTTCTGAGTATTGCTAAATTTAGAAACCATTTTTTTTTTTATAGGAGCTTCCTTTTCTAACAAAAGTATGAGGATTCTGTGAATTGTAATATGTTCTTGACGTATTGTTATGTTTTTTGGTATATCTGCTGCCTGTCATGATGTTTCATATGCTCCATAAAAGTGTACATATTAGGTGTACTTACAAGTGAATTTTAATTTTTTTATCGATGATTTTTAAATGTAAAAATTATTAAATTTTAGTTTGAAAACGATTTAAAAATAACTAAAACCACTCCCATTCAAAACTATTGGTTTATTTAACCATCAATGTGACTGACCCATTTTAGAACTGTTACCACTTATGACTGTGATGGCTCCATTATGGTCATAACTAGGTTCATTTTTATATTAAATGCATTTCTCCCTTACTTGTGAATCTATTTATGCCAAATACGTGCTTTATTGAGTATCAAGAAATATTGATTGAAATATTGTTTCTTTTTCTAATCTTACTTACGGGCCTCTTCAGTTCTTCGTTTCTCTGATGGTTTGCTTGGCTCCCCAATTCCAATAAGGCTGGCAGCTACTATTCGGAATTCATATTCAACCCATGGGTTTAAGCCTACCACCGTTGCTGTAAATGTATTTCCATCAATGACATCAGGCACTGGAAGAAATGTCAGGAAGAAAGGTCAGGAAAGAGAATGAAAAAAAAAAGTATGCCTGATAATTACTGTATAATTGAAAAGCCATTACATACATATAATTTTAAAGATTCAAAATTTTATGCTGAAGAAACACAGCAAGCAGAACAATAAAACACAAACTGAGTGGAAATAATAGACTCTTAGGCTACAGAATTTAACTATGGGTTGGCTGGTCTTATTTTTCATCACAACTGAATTTATGGTTAAAATCAGGGCGGAAGAGTTGCTAATCAATTGATTACCATAATTGATTAGTTATAACTAATTTGACATAAAAACATGGTTTGGGGAATGGGTGCAAGGGCTAAATACACAGCAGTCACCAGACTGAATAAAATTCAAACAAAAGAATGAATATTTTGAAATGAAGCTATGAAGTAAGGGATCACTATTAAGATATGTGTGTGAGGTTTGTAATAGAATTGTAGAATCTAAACGAATGCTATAAGTACAGTACTAATGCTCAAGAAAAAATTCTAAAAAAAGAAATGTAAAAAATGCTGTAAAAATATTGAAAATGGTAAATCTTTAGGTATAGATGGTAGTGATACTGGAAAAATATTAAAATATGAATGTGGTTTGCCTGTTGAGCAGCATTATCACTTGTCTAACCCAAGTGTGAAGACTGCATTTTTGCTTAACATAGGAAGAATGGCATTGTTTTCTGTTCAGAATCAAAGGTAGCTTGCTCATCCGAGGATGACTGGCAGAATTCTGACTAAAAAAGATGTTATGTTAACAATAAACAAAATTTGATAAGAGCAGTACAGTTTTATTCCAGGCACAAAGGGTGCAGATTAAATTTTGCTGTTTAGCAGGCAATTAAGACATGTATGATTGGGAAATGTCTATTGTATGCTTCTTAATTTAATAAAGTGAATAGGCTTCAGTCGTGGAATGCTTGGATAAGGCACATAGTAAGTGTACATCTCATGGATATAAAACATGTATGACACTAAACAGGATGATTCAACTACAAATGGAATAGGACAAGGATGTGTATTAGCTCCTTGCTTAATGTATTCATTAAAGAATGCTTTAGTGAAATTAGAAGTATGTTCATTAATTGTCTAAATGTGTATCTAATTTTGCATGTAAGAGATGCTGTGTTTTTGGGATGAGAACTCGAATGATTCATTGTAAATATTATATAAAACATATAATACAAGGAACGTGGACCTTAAAATTAAGATGGAACAAGGCTGGGTCAAAGTATGGCGAATGATTGCGAGTTATATATACATGATAAAAAACAAATCCAAAACTAGAGAAATAAATGTAATGGAAGGACATTTACTAAAGATTATATAAACTTTACGGAGAATTTTTAAGGTGTATAAATGCCAGTTAATGTTAGTGGAAAGTACATGGTTTGTTAAGAGAAATGAATATGTTTCAAAAGAAGCAAGAAGAGTTGGGTATAAAAACATCCTTCTGCCCAGTTTGTTACAAGGAAAGTTGGCTGCGTCAGGAAAAACAAAAAGCTGAATGGAGCAATAATATGGTACTTAAGGTAAAGAAAGAATGTTTACAGAGATTCTCAGTCATCCAGGTTATGGTTGTCCCAAAGGTGCTTTTTCCAGAGGCAAATGGACTTTGTTTTTCCTTTCCTTTCAAGGAAAAATAAAGAAACTCCAGTTGCCTCTGGAAAAAGCACCTTTAGGACAGTAAAGAAAGAATGTGTGGTGAACGAATATGGATAAAATACAAAAAGAATTAACTTGATTGAGTGAATTGATATAAATTATTTATAGTTCTTTCTCTTTTTCTTATTCTTTGCACTGTACAATATTGCTTACCATGAAAGGGAACAACATGATGAATATGAACTTGTAGGAATTATTGATTTTCTTACTTTCTCTTTGAAGATCATCGTATATACTGTATGTTCTATTTATCAATATTACTTTTTATAGATTCATGCTGACTTGACCATTTTGTGTATATAGAAAAGTTTAAAAATCACATTCTATATGCTTTAAAGTGCTTGTGTACCTGTATTTACTCCTTGCCATCCAACAGAAAATGGGGTCCTTGCTTGAATAACATACGTTGTAATGGGACTGCGATTATCTGCTCCTGGTCTCCAAGAAACCTGAGCTGTAGTGTCTGTTATCTCATCAATTGTCACAGCTTCAGGAGGACCTGGGGGACCTGTTATGAAACATCCAAAATAAACAAAAATACGTTTTGGTTCCCCTCAGCGAGAAATACATAGCAAATAATAGCCTGCAGAAGTAGTCCACATTTAAGATGAAGAAGTTGCAAGACTTTCCTGTTCAATTCTAAGAAAAAAAAAAGATATTATAAAAATCTGTTCTTTGTAGAAGGAACTGTGGGAGATCCAGATGCAAAATATACTGCCCAAAGTAGCCCAATGATTTCAGTGTTTGATCCATTCTACACTGTCTACTCTGTCCGCAGAGTTGGACTAGATGACCTACATGGTCCCTTCCAACTCTGTTAACTTGTTAAAAAAAGAGTTTTCAGTGCCCATGATGGTGATGTAAACTATAACAAACTTGAAATGTTTGGGATATTTTGGGCATTATCTTTTTGATTTGGATCAGTTGAAATTCTTGGCACTATGGGACAACTTCTGTTATAAAACTTTTTTTGCATTCTAAGTTTATTCTGACATAGGTAAGCTTTAAATACAGTTACTAAAGTTATTTTTTAGCAGAGATATGTGTTCTTTATCACAAGAGACACAAGAATTATTATTTTTGCCCATGTAAGAGGACTCAGAAAATCCTTTCTTATATAGTAGCTCAGTTTTTAAAAAGGATATTTAAGAAATTTTTTAAAAAATAAATGTAAAAAAGAATATTTGGAATGGTGAAAAAGACAAAATGTTTAAATTCCTAAAATCTTTCTAATCTGAACATAGAATGTTATCAGTAAGAATGCTATAGACTTTCAATATAATGTTATTCACATTCATAGGGAATTAAGCCCTAAAGGCTCAGTGGTTTATCTTTTCAAATAAGTGTGCCTTAACCTGAAACACTTATCTGGTGCAATCTTTGCATGTCTTCTTGGAAATGGAGAGTTTCAATGACATCCTTAAATTATCTCTTTGTGCAATATGGCAATGAGATTAAAAATGGTTAATATTTGGGGAGAGGCAAAATGATTTCATGAGTTATTTCACAGAATCAGTTTTGTTTGTTTGTTTTTGCATGAAAGCTGTGATGTGGATGCTGTCTTGTCTGACCTGGGGACCTTCTGCTGACCTGTAAAAAGGTAAAGGTTTCCCTATTAGTCATGTCCAGCTTTAGGGCATGATGCTGACCTCCGTTTCTTGGCTAAGGGAGCCAGCATTGTCCAAAGACAATTTCCGTGTTCATGTGGCCTGCGTGGCTATAGGCCAAAGGTGCATGAAACACCTTTCCACCAAAATGGCATCAATGTATCTACTCTCATCTTTATACTTTCTAATTGCTAGGGTAGGCATGAGCTGAGGCAAGCAACGGGAACTCACCCATTGCATGGAGCTTGGGTCTCGAACCTGGGCTATCAACTCTCCAGCTAACAAGCTCAGCGTCTTTAACTGCTGATCCATTGTACACTCTCATTATTGACCTGTAGCCCTGTACTTTTTATTAGGAGATGGACTATTGCCCAATTGGTCATATGATTAGAGCAAGTCTGAGCAATGAAGGCAGAGAAATCTATTCACTGAGGATTTCCCCAGATCTGGAATATTCTCATTTCAGATATTCATCAAAAACCAACAGAATGCCTTTCTGAGTAGAAGACTTTATTAGGAAAAAATACTGATTAAGGATCAGCATATGAGAAGCAATAAGAATTTCTCATTTTCTCTACTTCTTATCGCTTGTTTGCCAATTGCCCTCCATAAATAACATAGCTGGGAATAATATTTGTTACACCAAACCATACCCCTGAAGAATGATGTAAGTTTATTAGCCCAATAATTGTACTTCGGTGCCCATGGAGGCTTCATCCCATTCCCCTCTATTTGGTACCTTGTTTTTGTTTTTTTACATTCCTTTTCCCCATATCCCATATTCTGGAGGTCTTCCATTCCTCAGGAAATAGATGGGAAATCTCTGTTTTAAGGGTGAAATCATAGTGATGACTGAGAATTGAAGTCACAATTTTAGCTGCTCTTTTCAAAATGATATTGAAAATGAAACTTTAAAAATAAAGTAGATTTAACATTTAAATTTTTATTTATTTATTTTATACTACAGGCTATACTGTTAGGAACTTTGATATACAGATTAAATAAGTCTTAACAATACAGCTTGAACTGTACATACATATTCCAAAAATCAGTTATTGACAAGCATGCAATTTCTCAAGGTTTTCTAATAATTCTGGCTGTTAGTAGGAACACAAATTGTTATGTAACATATTTAGTTTACTAAATAACACATATTTAGTTTACTAAATATATATGTTGGACTCTGCTTGCAAAAGACATATTATTTAATTTCAATAATAACATTCTGAAATGCTCTAAATGTCACCTTAGGTTGTACTTACTCAAAAATAAACCCTTTGAATTTAATGGGACTGACTCTTTAAGTAAGCATACACTAAATTATGATCATAGTAAGTTTTCCTCATGATTCTTTTCCTATAAAAGTTCTCTCTATTGATCATTAGAGATGTGTCTATAATATATTATGGTTCATAATCTTATATCTTTCACCCTGCTGTTTTTAACAATGGCTGCTTAAAGAAGATTCACCAGCTGTAAGAATGAATAATTTGAAATGTGTTTGCTGGAAGCACCTAGCACAGTCTTTCCAAGAGTAGATTCCACAGTAACACATGAAATGTGAAATGTAAAAATACAATCAAATGGGATTTGTGCTGAAGACTGTAATTAAAACAAAAACAAAATGATTTGACATTAATAGAAAGCCTTTGCTTAACTATAGAACTTAGCTTCTAGTAAGGTGCTACAGAGTGCTTTAGTAGAGTAGAGTTGGAAGAGACCTTGGAGGTCTTTTAATCCAACCCTCTGCTCAAGCAAGAGACCCTATACCACTTGTGTCAAACTCGCGGCATCACATTGCCAGCATGTGATATGTGACGCATCTGGCCCACAGGCCGCCAGTTTGACACCCCTGCCCATTCCAGACAAATGGCTGTCAAATCTCTTCTTAATAGCCTCCAGTGATGGAGCACCCACAACTTCTGAAGGCAAGCCATTCCATTGGTTAATTGTTCTCACTATTAGGAAATTTCTCCTTAGTCCTTTGTTTTTTAATCATCTGCCAGTTTATTTTGCCAAATATGATGGTGCAACTAAATTCGCACACTTAAATGTCAATTACAATGACAAGTGAGTTTTAGACTAAGTTAGGCTCTAACTCATTTATTTGATTAAGCAAATGTATGTTTTTCCAACATGAATGAACATCAGTAACTGAAAGGAAAGTTTGGCTGGTGTTTCCTTTTATCCACTAGATGGTGCAGCTTGGCTACAAAATGTAGCACTAAAAAAAGTCCCTACAACTCCAGATGCCAGAAAAAAGAAATTCACTATGTTCACGGAACTCTGTAATGTATTTTCTTCTAAAAGACTCCTAATAAAATGTAAGATTATTTCCTCCAAAATGATCTATATACTTAAGAACTTCAAGTATTATAGATTTTAAATATTTAGCAGCCTAATTTCTGAGTATTTAAACTGTTCATTGAACCTTGTTCTCATTAAGTGGAACATGCATTTACTAAAGCTACAATATATCTTAATTCCATGAGGGACCAGCTGATAAACTTCCAGCTACTCTAGAATAGTTAGACTAGACTAGGAAGACTTCCATTATGTTTTTCAAGGGAAAAATATATAACATAAATACACTGAATTAAAGCAGAAGCATTATACAGGTTAGCTGCCATTACAAAATAAACGTGAGTAAAATCTGATCAGGGTATTTGCCTGATTGATACAGGGTAATGGATTGCATTTAATAAGAATCAATAATTTTATTCCAGGGCTGAGCACAGGAGGCCCACAGTTCTATGTCGTCAACACCTAGACTAGTTTTGTTATATTAAGGAAGTAGAAAACATTACCTGGAGTCTCATACAGGTAATCCTCACCCCATAACCATGATTGAGATCAAAATTTCCATTGCTGAGTGATGTAGTTATAAGGTCGGATATCGCCTCACCACTTATCTTAGCAAAGGTTTTCCTGGCACTTCCCATTGCCAACTTTAAACTAATTCTATTACTGGAGAACTCACCCCAATCCAAGCCATTCTGGTCAATGTTCCTCAAGCCTCAAGGTAAGGAGCTTCCCCAAATTCCCTCATCTGCTTATCTCTCTCCCCATCTCTTCCCTTTTGGTCACCCTACCTCCTACCTTGCAAGGTAGCTCAGAATCGTGCAGCTTTGGAGGTGTTTGCCCAACTCCCATCCAGGAGCTTCTTGCAAGAAGCCCCTGAGCTATAGCATAGTGTGAAAAGCTGCAGCCATGTCTGGAAGTCTCAGCTGCCCCAGAAATGTAACAGAAAGGGGCTTTTTGGCACACCATGGCTCCAGTGTAAGAAGCCTCTGTGCAACAGTGCAGTGCGAAGGCCTTTGCAGCATGAAACCCAGCCAGAGCTCGACTAGCAGCACAACACAAAGCTGCAGCCACGCCAACCAAGTCCCAGCCACAGCTGTCCTTCCTCTTCACGCTGAACTGAGGCCTCTACTGACCTTGCTCTGCTGCCACATCTGACTTTTATCATCTTGCTTCCGCTGCTGATGAGGTGTGCCTCTCCTGCCCTTTGCAATTCAGCTGCTGACCATGTAAGCCATCTTTCCCAGGTCTCTTGAAGAAACTACCATGAGCAACCTGGCAAAAGAAAGCCTTGTATAGCCAGTAGCTGCCTTGTGAAGGGGCCAGGCTGGGCATGCTTGGTGAGCATTGGAAGCAAAAAAAAATGGCAAAGGTCAGGGAGGGCATCGGGGGCCATGGAATGAGGGGGCAAAAAGGACATAGATTTGAGTTAAATAGGTAGAGTTGAAGCACCTCTGTGATTGTAAATCCAGGCTGCCAAATGCCTGGATTTTGATCATGTAACTGCAGGGGTACTGCAGTAGCCATAACTTTGGCTACTCATAACTCATAAATCCCTTCGTTTAGCACTACAATAACCATGAATGGTCTTACTGAACAAATGTTCATAAGTTGAGGACTACTTGTACTTAGGAACTGTCTCTTTCCATATGAGGTGAACAGTAGTTTGCAATCAGCAATGGATGCTTCATTATTTATTGTTTCAAATATTGTGGATGGGATTACAAAAGATGTCTTCTTAATAGGGTCACCTCAACAATATAAGACTCTTCTAAAAGAGGTTCAGTTGGCTGCTTTGTTTCATTTCATTGCTTAAATTTTTAGAGCTACCTGAATCTAGACAATCTATAGTATTAAAAGTTTTAAAATACAGACAAAAGAATAACAGGCATCTGGGGAAAAAACATACTAATGTTTTTTAAAATCATATAATATACAAGGGGCCTAACCACATGGTCTGAGGAAGTGTTAGATTTTAAGGAATCTTTTAAAAGAGATCAGGGTGAGGGCCAAACAAAACTCTGAGATACATTATTCCAATGGATGGGTACTGCAGTACGGAAAGAAAAAAATCTAGATTCTATCAGATGACACTGTTTAATGAGGTAGAGAACTATGGCCCCTTTCTGACTTCTGGACTTCAACTCCCAGAATTCCTGGGCTGGCTCAGGAATTTTGGGAGTTGAAGTCCACAAGTCATAAAAGGTTCCTTACCCCTGGTTTAATGGATGGAACCTTGTGTATATCAATTCTTCCTGAAATAGATGGTTCCTCAGATAACCAATCTCTGAGCAATGAAAAATATGGTTTTTTTATACAAGTCTTTGGACTACAGTGAGAATCGGCATATTGATTTGATTCTTTGCTTCTTCTACATATAGTCATCAACTTATGACCATTTGTTTGAAAATATGACATGCTGAAAAAAGTGACATGGCTGATCCTCACACTTATGACCATGGCACCACACAGAGGTGGTATTCAGCAGATTCTGACCAGTTCTGGAAAACCAGTAGCGGAAATTTTGAGTAGCTTGGAGAACCGGCAGTAACCTTCCTCCAGGAGTGGGGTAGGAATGGAGATTTTACAGTATCCTTCCCCTGCCACGCCCACCAAGTCACGCCCACCAAGCCATACCACGCCCACCAAGCTGCGCCCATACAACTGGTAGTAAATTTTTTTGAATCCCACCACTGGCAGCATCCATGCATCCTGCAGTCACCTGATCACCATTTGTAATTTCCCCAGCCAGCTTTTGACAAGCAAATCAATAGGGAAGCCAAAAGGAATGGTTGCAAGTTGTGGTCAGGTGCTATCTAATGTGACAGTGACAAAAAAGATTGCAAAATTAGACACCATCATATGGTGCCTCACTTAATGAATGCACTGCTTAACCAGTCGCAACCATGGTCATAAGAAGAGGACAACCTGTATTATTCAGTTTTTGTTTTTTGCTGCAACTGATGGGGTTCAATTTCTTCATTACAATGCTTTTACGTGATCAAAAGACAATATACAATGTTTACATAACTGAGAAATGTGCAGCCGTGCCTTAGCACATTGATGCTAAAAGGATGGACCGCATATTATAATATCACATGAGTTCTGCCCTTTCATCATCGCATTGCAGTGTCTCATCCAAGTGAGGGGGAAGATTTTGCATTGCAATATTGTGACATGTGTTTACTACTTGTCCACCTTGCCCTCTCCATGGATGTTTGATGCTGTGAGATCAGACTATCCAGAAAAGAGGCATTTGATAGAAATAGCAATCAGGAAAATTAGATTCTAAGAACAAATACTTTTACAGCTTTCTCCCAAATATCCAAGCTACATTAACCTTCCACTGGGACAATAATAAATTGCCACCAGATTAATGTATAGCTTTTAGAGTGTAAATCTCTTTCTGACTAATGTTGCCTCTTGACTATATTGGTCAAATAAGCAAACTAAAGTACCTGCAAGAATCAAGCACAATAGTCAGGGTTTGCCCTGAGGTGACTGCATAATGGATGTAGCCAACATAGGGCGCTGAGGTCAGTGATTTGGGGTCACACTGATATTTTTTTAAGCGCCATCATTTGCATTTTCTAGTAGCAGTATATTTACGAAGCAGTGCTTAAAAGGTGGAGAACAACAGAGCTGAGTTCCTCTGCCACAGTAATGTGACTGCAGTACTTGGTTCTTGGTCACAGTAACATGACCAAGAGGTCACCAGAAGTCCGATGTGGAGAGCATGATATGGAAAGAATAAAAGAGAGGGCAAAAAGGCTACAGGCAAATTATTGCTGCCAAAGCAACTGAAGCATGCATGTTGTTTTCTTCCCAGATTGTAACCTCATACGTACAATGCATGCCATTAAAAAAAATAAAAAATAAAATAAAACAACACACACACACCCATATTAAAATGGAGACACTTCATGCCTCCATATTTGAACAATATTTTAGTTCTTTACCTAACTATAATAATTATTAACATATGTTAAACATTTCTCTCTCATACTTTCACAGGCAATCTGTGGGGTTTTTTTGGATTGCTAGTTGAAGGCACAAAAAACCTTTAGAGCTGTGCTTTATGGTATTAATTGCAGTAGTTTTGCAACAACAACAACAGCAAACAAAATTCAAATACCTCTTACAATCAGGTCTGCAGCAGCTGATAGTTTGTCCACGCTTGTTTGCACCATGCAGACGTATTTTCCAGCATGATTCAGCTGGATGCTTCTGATCATCAAATCACCAGCTGAATCCTGCTGATAAAGTAAGGAAAAATGTTACAACTACTTTATAAAGTGCTCTAAATAGCATTATCATATGACAACCACTTGGCTAATGGATTTTACTTTTACATCAACAGATGAAAATGCGAGACATGACTTATTTAAACTACCTGGATTCTACTGAGGATATGGTGGTCTACAAATCAAAATTAAATCAATTAAAATAAATAATGTAAAATGTATGAACAGGAAAATATGGCTCCTTGTAAAGGATAACAGAAATTCAGGTCAGTCAAGCAGTTTACCATAAATGTGGTATGCAAAAAAGGGTTGTTGTTTTTTAATGTTCTACCTAAATGTCCAGTTTACAACCTTCATTAGTATTTGGATATCTGTTTTCTGAATATCTTTGTCTAATTAGGTCATCCCAAAGATGAGACATCTACATTAGTTTTCAGAGTCTTGTAGCACAGCCATGAATTAGATCAAGGTGTCAAATTCACATCGTCATGGCAGCATCATGTGATGTATTGGGAGTTTTTCCCCCTTCACTAAACCAGATGTGGGCATGGACAGCAGGCCGGGAGTTTGACAGTTTAGATGGATCACATATTTGTATAAGGTTACAAGGACTACAATCTAGAAATGTTTGCATTACTTGGCATGGAACAATATAATTTGCAAAATATCTGTAACCAATTAGCAAATGTATAGATTCAATGATGGCTTCTGTGTGGTTGTGCAGCATCAGAATTATTTTGTGTACTTGTGTAAACATCTGAGTGGGTCCATGCAATAGTACCTGAAATTATACATTTATATAAAATGATACCTTTGGCATACGATAAACTACCATTGGGTTCAATAATGAACTTGGGTTACTTTAGAAGATAAAGCAAATATTTCTATCTGATCTAGAATTATATTGATTAGCATTATATTCCTTCTCAGTATTAGAGCCTTTTGCATGAACTAATAGGAAGTTCTGACCCGTCCACTTTTTTAAATAATGGCTATTCTGTACATTTAATTTATATGTCTTAACCTAAAGGATGCTTGAAATGCCTCCTGCATAAAGAAAGAACTTATTTTGTGGTGTGTTTGAAATTGCTGCTTTCCTGGAAGGGATTAGGTTTATGTTCTAAGAATGTTGACCATAGTTTCCAATTTGCAGAATGACAGAGTCCTGTAGAGGAAAACTAAGGGGAGATGCAAATTGTTTGAACTTTAGTAGGTAGTTTTTTTTTTTTTCCATTGGTCCAGAAACTTGGCTAAAAGCCTGACAGTGGAAGATAACTGCAAGCAAAGTATTTTAAAAATGCCTGACTTTGTAGACAACATCTAGTGTAAGGTTGTGGATATGTTTGCAGACCCTAAAATGGATGTCTGCCTTTTTCAGGTCAGAAAGCCTGTTTGTTACAAGATAAAACCCAGAATCTCTGCTGCTTGCCTTTGAGAGCCCCACAACATGAGGGTCTTCCAAACATCCCTGAGGGAGGGTGCGGAAGCTTCTGAATGTCAACTGAGATATCCCAATGGTTCGGTTGTACTGCAAATAAATTGCTATGATGCCCCTCAAAAACACTCATTCTCTGTCTTTCTCTTTCTTTCTCTTCCATTATCTCTCATGGAATTCCATTCAGATCTTGCAAAACCTTAAGGTGTTTGAAAACTTTGTTCTAAAGACAAAGAAGGAGCAGGGAACATTCTGCAGAACTGAATGTTCTGCAGAGCTGAACATTCCTGCAAAGTGGCAACTAGGTTTAGGTAGTTTTCTGTTCTGACTTTCTGTTCAGAGAACAGTTTTGTCTCTCATTTTAGACTTTGGTAGAGCTGTCCTATATATTAGGTGACGGTTCCCCTTGCACATATGTGCTAGTTGTTTCCAGCTCTAGGGGGTGGTGCTCATCTCTGTTACAAAGCCAAAGAGCCAGTGCTGTCCGAAGATGTCTCAGTGGTCATGTGACCGGCATGACAAAATGCCAAAGGTGCACAGAACGCTGTTACCTTCCCACCAAAGTGGTCCCTATTTTTCTACTTGCATTTCTACTTGCTTTTGAACTGCTAGGATGGCAGAAGCTGGGACAAGTACGTTACGTGGCTTTAGGGATTTGAACCATTGAACTGTCAATCTTCTGATCAACAAGCTCAGCGTCTTAGACACTGAGCTACTGATTTAGCTGTCGTTTGTAGTATTTTTTTAAACAAAATGGCAATTAATTTTATTGACAATGTTGACAAATACTGAAGGAATAATTACCCATCTGATTCTTCCCGAATGCATAGTTGTACATTTATTACGTTTTGTTAATGATCTGCTACTTTTGGAAAGCAGAGTATTCCAAGAAATAAGTACTTGGATCATCTGATGAAGGAGATAACATGGTAATATAGAATTTAGATAAGTCAAATATTTTATTGCTGGAATTATAAACTACTATGATTTGAGAACATACGTGTGTACAGACTTAGGATTAACAAGTGAGCTTGCAGACAATACAATTGGTCTCTTTTCTATAAACATATTATCAAACTATCCAATACTTTATTACTGAACAGTCATGAAGTCTGCTACAATTACTAATAATAATATTTACCCCTCCAACTCTTTCAAAGTGATCTCCATCTTTTTCAAAGTCTATGAGATGTCCATTAAATGACCAAGTAAAGACAATGTCTAGTGGATGATCATGAGATACTTGGCAAGGCAGAAGAATACTTTCACCAGCAGTGACATCCATGCTGGTAGGTGCCACCACAAATCGTGTTGGATCTATAAATAATATCAAAGAATAAATGATCAGATTTTTAAAAGTATAGTTTAAAAGCTTGAAATAATATTTGCATGGTATTTGCTCAGCATAATTTTTAAAAGTCAATTTAATGCAGTTGTCTTAACTATATATATATATATTAAAGTTTTCGCGGGTACTTACATGTATGGTATTCAGCTTTGTTCGGGTATTTTCCCACGTCATTGTAGTTGTGCTTTTAAAGTTGTAGCAACGTTTCGGCAGAATCTCATCTGCCATCATCAGGCTTCTGGTTGTGTCCGTCTGTGAGTCAGGCCCCCACAGTTG